TTCCTTGAATATTTAATATTGAAGGATAAATTTTTAAATTTAATGCTTTTACGAATTTCAAACCTTGAGTCACTAGACAAAATTATAAAATTTTTTTTTTTAGACATTTTTGTGATATCTGTTTAATAGAGAGTTCATCTATGTGTTACCTCTTCTTTTGTACATAAAAATGAAGCAAAGTGGAACATGATCCAATTATATAATTTTCACATGAGAAAAAATATATGGTTGGATTAGTTTGTATCATTAGAGACAGACATGAAAATAATAAAAGTGACTTCCAATTAATCATCTTTTAATTTATTTAATCTTAAAACTACTTGAATGTTAATTACATAATTGACTAAGAAAAAGGTTTTCTTCAAGTTTGAGAATTCTAAAGCCATTCCTCGAAAAAAGAAAAAAAAAAGGTATTTAGCTTCGTAAATTAGGATAATTATCTCATCTCACTTTTGTTGTTAAGTGTAATCAAAATGCTACCAATACGAACTAAACTCAGCAGTAATTAATACTTATAGGTTATAAGTTCGAATCTCCCACCTCTACTTGATGTACTAAAAAAGGCATAAACGAAATGCTATTGTGACATGGCACGCAAGGTAAATATTAGTAGTCGATTAATCAATTCATTTGCCCTAACGCATTTATCAACCACTTGATCAACCTATCTAGTCATTATAAAATCTTTAAATTAACAAATAAAAACTTCACCATTTTCAAATAAATTAACATTTGCAATTTTTGCAATAATTGAAAGGTCGATGCACCCCTTATGTTGCTGATGTCAAACTCATAGACATATAGAAATGTCTGACATATCGATGAAAATTTTGATACCTACCCTTATGTTGCTGATGTCAAATACACATATAGAAATATCGATAGAAATTCAATACCTAATCAAGACTAAATTTAGAATCCAACTAAAAAGAAAATAGGATGAGAAAAAAAAGGTGGGATTTAAGTATTCAAAGCATCAACAGAGCTGTGGCTTCCCTCCAAGGCAAAAGAAGAAAGCAACCAACATCATCTTCATCATAGTATAGTATATTTGAAAAGTAAAGAATAAGCACTTTATTCAAAATCCATCAGATTCAAGCAAGTTATTACAGTGATTTTATATTGAGCAAAAGCATGGCTTTGCTTGTTACCCCCTGCTTTCTCCCTTCCTATAACAGCCTTTGTCCTAAGCCAATTCAATTCAACTTTCAAATCAACTTCAAATCAATGCCAATGGGGTTAGATTTTGAGCTAAAGATCAGCCCAAGCTCCTCCTTCTCAAACTTTGAGCTCCAATTGGCCAGAGGAACTCCCAGTCCTTTCTGGTCTAATGAAACCAATTCCATGTTCATTCTCACTGCCAAACTCACAGGTTTTTCAAGAGAAGACATTGGGATAACTATTAATGGAACCGGTACTCGGATCGAGATCGGTTGGGGGCAACCTGTTCAGAGAATGGAGATTACGAGATGGATGTACAAGAAAGAAACAGAGACGAGGAGGTTCAAGAAGATCTTTCGGATTCCGGATGGGGTGGTTTTGGACGAGATCAAGGCGACGTATAATGACGAAGAATCGATCTTGAAGATTGTGATGCCCAAATTGGTGGATGGGATCCTCGGGGTAGGGATTGAAGAGGTGAAGGAGCAAGACGTTGGCGAAGATGCATTGGAATCTCAGGATTCTGAAGCTGAGGAGATTCCTGAAGTAACTGAAGGGTTTGAAACTGGCAGAGAGACCAAATTCGTAGAAGATGCTGCTAATGGAGTATTTGAAGGAGCAAATGCCACGCCTGAGCCATCTCCTAAGAGAGAATATCTTGCAGAAACAACGCAAGAAGAGACCGAGAAGCTGAAGGGCGACGAGATGGAACATATTGATGGAGTTTCCAATCACTACTCTGAAAGTGAAAAATCAGAGAAACTAACAACGGAAATTGCCGAGGCCCCCAAAAGATGGGACAACGGAGGGATAGTTGACAGCGAAATCATCATCCCCAAGGTTAGAAGTGTGAAAGGAATAGAATTGGATGAAGGAACATCGAAAGGAACAGCCAATCATCAAAAGGAAAAGGGAGAGCCCAATTCTGAAGCACATAATGGCAGTATAGCAACCATGACAAATAAACAACCAGATATCAAAATACAATCACAAGCTGCAGTTGATAGAGACACAAAAGTACCAGACAAACCAGAGCTTTCGCAGCCAAATGGAAAGATTCAAGCAGAACATAAAATTGTTGAGCAACAGGGGAATAAGGAAACATATAGAAGTGCCTGGGAATCGAAAGAATTTGAAACCAATAACGAACCTGAATATATAGCAAGTCCGTATTTGCAAAGCCCTGAACACGAGCATGAAGAAAAAGGAGTTAATCAGCAAGGAAAAAGTTTTCAAACACAAGATGAAATCAAAGAAGCAAGAGAAGAAAGCGGGTCACCGCAGAGAGAGAAACATGAACAATCCACAAAAGAGGCAAAACAAGAGAAAATTCAAGATTCAAAACAGTTTAAGATGCGTACTCCAATCATCATTGCAGGGTCAGCTCTACTTGCATCCCTTGCAATTGTAGTGTTTAACTTTGTGAGAAGTAAGAAACGTGAGAAAAATATGAGAGGCTAAAAATGCTGAAGCAGCAGCAGAAGACACTTCTAGAAGAAATAAAGACTAATCACAATGTACTCAAAATATAATGTGAATGCGATCACAATAATGAAAATAGACTGTTGCTGATAATATTAATAGCACCACTTGGAAGTTGGAACCTTCAAATGGTTGGTACACTCTACAGGCTAGCGTCAAACTGCCTGTCATAATAGCAACTGCATTAATTACAAACTTAAAAAGAGAGAAGTTAGTTGGAAAAGAAAAGACAATCAAGAACTTTTGGCATTAAAACCCTGAAGCTAACGACAGCTAAGCAATTATTGTAGGAGGGACCACAGATTTATAAGGTTCTCCAATTTTTATGGTACCCATCTACCCAAAATATGCATTATTGATCGTACGATCAGCCATATCTTTCACTTGATACAGAATAAAATGGTCAGATTCTGCCAAAGCGCTGTAATTCAAAATCCGGGTAGTAAAGTTTAGGCGGTAACAATTATGAACCAAGTCTCCATAGATCCAAACTTGATATGAAAATTTGACCAAGAATCATACAGCTAAGCAAGTTCTGAAATATGATGCCCTTCGTCTTTTCTCATTTCTCCTAAACAACTGTAACTTTGCCCATGTTGTATAGAGGATACTGAAGACTATCAAGTGTAGCCCATATATAAAAATAGTAGTTAATATTTTAAATAGTACTACTGTTTATTTTCAAGTTTTGATTGAGAAAGTTTAATCTTCAGAGCACTAATTTCATGTAATGCGAAGGCAAAGTTCATTTCATACAGAACCAATAATTGAAAACCTCAATTTTGCCACTTGAAAATTGAACCTTTGGTTAAAATAAAAGGGAAAAATGAAGAAAGACAGTTAAGACTTGACACCAAACTGTAATTTCCAAAATTTTAAGGTAATGTTAGTATCAAGGAAAAAACCTAAAGAATCAGAACATAAAGTTATTTATCTAATGTAGAAGGGCTAACATGTAACATTAAATTCAACATTGAAATAAAGATCGGGAGAGATGAATGTCCTTGGAAGCTATGGAATGTCAAATGCGCAAAAGAAAAGTCAATTGTAGAAAATCATCAAAACACCCCTGTTGTTTCTCTAATACAAGTACAACCCTCTTCTTAAAAATAAATGTCAAAACATGGTCAAGGGCACATTTTTCTAAGTCAACAACAAGGAGCTTGACCAAAAAATAAAATATTAGGTCAATTCTTTGCAAGTTGCAAAATGAATACAAACCCTTTTGAATGACCTGACAATGGTCATAATGCATGAACACCATGGACTTCATAATAAACTAGTCTATTGTCAGAATTTTAAACATCATGGGTAGAAGTAAAACTCCAATGTAAAAAACAGAAGGACCAACTTAGTTTCGCAGGAAAAAAGGGGCAAAATCCAAAGCAAGTTTACCATCTGAGATTTCCATTCATTGGTGTAAGGTCCGGAAAAAGAACTGTAAAGCTTGTGTTCCAGCGGCGAAGCATCAGAATCAGAATCGACTTAGCCTCAGGGCGCTCGCTTCTTCTGCTAACATAAATATTTTTTTACACAACATGGATGCAGAAACCGAGGTCAATTTCATACTCCCCTTGATCCTTCCTCCCAACCATGGGTCAATGCACCCACTTCCCCAAACCCAGATTCGAATTTCGCTATGTTCCTTTCTTCTTATCAACCCACAGATGCCCAACATACATGGCCACAGAAAGTTAACCATTCCTATGCTTTATCTTCATCCTTCATGAATTAAATAAATAAGTAAAAGTAAAAACTTTGGTACTTTTCAAAAGAAATGTAATGCGATGGAGACAGAGAGAGTGTGTGTGTGGCCTCCCATTTGTCAAATTCACAGAAGCAGGGAATTACCGCGTACAATTTTGAATGGATTCCCTGCAAAATGGAAGAAGGGGAAAGAGTTTTACATAAAATGTAATCCAGAAGTCAAAAGAAAGGGGGAACAAATGGAACTCATTATATATATGCAGAGCACTTAAAAATCATATCCAAACATTGGCCGTTGGGAAACCATTTCGTTTTTCTTAATCAATCAAACAATCACTGCAGAGGATGTCAAATCTTGAATTAATTGTATCAAGATCAAAAGAGTAGTGCGCAAAATTTGATCAAAAGATATATATCCCTACCCCAACACAAATTGTATTTACCGAGTAATAAATATCACAGAGAACAGCTACATCAACGAAGATGTACGTAGACACAAAATGGATTGTACAAGCACCATCCCCAAACCCACCCAAAAAAGAAAAGGAAAAAAAAAAGTAAGCAATTGAGGAATGTCAGAGTCCATTCCGTATCTAATTTCCTTGCACAATACACACTGATTAATACAAAGAAACTCCTCTTACCCTTTTGTTTATTTTACTCACTTTTCACAATTCTCGAAGCCAACTTTGAAGATGTCCTGTAATCTGCAAGAATCTGATAATTTCTATTCAGGGGTATTTCCTCGCCCTAAACAATCAAGCCCCTCAGTTCTTGAGCGTACAATTCGATGGAACACCTCTCTAATCTGCCGTTCCAGAGGATCCAAGCCAACCTTCATAGTTTGACAAATCTGGGACAGCTCCTGCACTCTTTCCCTCACCTCTTCTTCCTTATCATTCGCCAATGGAAACTGTGCAGTATCGGCCAATTCATTCATAATTTGCGCAAATTTATCGATCTGATGAATCTCCTTCAACAATCCACAAGAATTTCTTCTTTCCCGCCTTCTGGACTCATCTAAAATCCGATCGTGAAGGGAAAGCATAGGCGCCGCCCATGGGAACTGCCGGGGCACCGAAAAATGAACATGTAAACCGCGGTCCTGGCACGGAATCGCCGCCACCAGAGTCCACGTTACAAACAACAAAACCATGTTCATCGTAAAAATAGGGACCGCAAGGCCATTGGTAGCCACCATCTCATTCGCTCTCGGAGCGGTCAAATTGCCCCCAATTGCCTGAAGCTGCCTCGCCGCAGACCACGAACGCGAAACGCTCCATGAAAGCGACCGGAAATGCCCCAAAGCCCTACGGTCT